CTAGATGACAGATGCGGACGAATGTGGAGCAGTCGGCAGAATGAGAATTGACAGGGAAACCGAAGTACTTGAAGAAAACCTGCCCTACTGCCACTTTGTCCACCACAAATCCCACATGACCTGACTCGGGCTCGAACTCGGCGACTAACCGTATGAGCTATGGCTCGGCCCTTTTGTTTTGTTTAGTTAAAGACGAATTCTTCGCAGAAAACCAAAGTAAGTCACGCTGATAGGAAGAAGTTTACGCGTTTGTATCGTGGAGCACTGAAAATTCGGCGTCACAGTTCGGCATGAATATTAAGAACAAATTGAGAAGTAATTTTTGTAATTACAGAAACGTAGCCTTTACGTCACTTATGTTTTCAAGCCCGCTTTTTGGTGTGTGCTACTGCTCGGAACATTCCCTGTCTGCATCAGCTAGAGAAACGTTAATTGGATAACCTACTGTCACTGCCTTGTATAATAAAACATAAAAAAGCCTGCGGAAAATTTGTACTTGGCGTTGTTTTCAGTTTACAAAACAGAATAAATTGGCAATCTGCACATCATAAGCTTCTTTGTGTGCCTGACGTATAAGCACCGGTAGTTCAGTCGTGTTTCTGACATTCAGACGTCAGATTGATGAGTACTATATGTCCTTTCTGTGCCATGGTATAATCGTATTTTATATTTCCTCTTTTCAAACTGAAAATAGACAGTATAAATAAAGCGCGTATTGTTGTTTCAACCCTTTGAAACCAGAATTAATCCAAATTCTATTTAAGAATTCAGTTCCTATCTCACAGAAAGCATATTGTGCTTCTGGTGAACCGATCTTGTGGAGGAAAATATCGCTTCCATCTTAGGCTGGGGCCACACGAGCGCACGAAGTACGTCCGTTGCAACGAAAGTACTTTATAACGGACGTTGCTGAGGACACCACACAGTTGCTGAATGCGATGCGTAGTTTTTTGTCTGCAATGGAGCCAGAAGAGAGCGTAGCATTCGCCTCTCTTGTTTATTTCTACAACGGACGTCACGAAGTTCGTTACAACGGACGCATTTTGTGCGCTCGTGTGGCCCCAGCCTTAAGGGTTGTAGACAAAACCAAGCAAGAAACTAGCATGGACCAGGCACCATTAAAACCTCTTCCCCGAAACGTCAGCTGACTTTTCGCTGGATTACACGACGATGTATCTTAGAAGATATTTTCTTTTCTCTCTCCTCTCTCGCTCCCACTTTGGAGCGCAGGGCTGATTTCTCAGTTTCTTGATCATTTATACACACGGTAGGACTCCTTGGACGGGCGATCAGCTTGAGCTATCTCGGGGCCCGAGCGGCGTATATGCTCGTAGTTACCGCTGTGCTTAGGGGCTTACTAATACGGACTAGGACTGACAAATGACAGACCCGACCTCTCGTCAGAGAGGGGGGCCCCAAATTGACAGGACAGTAACTTTCACAAAGAAGAAAACACCAAGACAGACAGACTGACTGACAGTCAGTCGCAGTGACTTTGACTTTGGCAACTCAAGGCCTGGATGTTTGTTTGTGCGTCTATTTTGTGTTTGTGTTGTTCTATGTGTAGGTAGCGGCCTTGCGACGGGCTGGTCACTCGTCCAAGGAGTCCTACCGTCTCTGTATAGGATTAAGAAAGTGAAGAAGAGGCCAGGCCCCTACAAAGGGCTGTAAAGCCGTTAATGAATGAAATTATAACTGATAGAATGGAAACGTAAGAAGTTACTTGTCATTTTACCTTCCGCTATTCTGACAACGTAAATGAAAACATTAAAATTTAAGTACTTAACATTTCGTTATTCATGCAGAAATAGACGAACATATTCGAATTTGTTGAATATTTGACCTGCCCCTATTCAGAAAGAGAATCACTCACGATTTATGCAGGCATACTTGATGAACACCACGCCAGGCCCCCACTCTTCCGCCGCTTTGTAGTCTGACGTCAGGCGGAAACTGCAGTGGTTCACCCCCGAACACCTGTAATGCACCACACGATACGTCGTAATCAGAAAACTAGTATAGATCTTTCGCCGGCAGTTTCTTATTGCCATACGAGCCGTACTGAGAAGACGCCTTGTTTTTTGGCACGTTTATAACCAAAACTTTAAAAGACAATAACACATTTCAACGAAAATGTGTACAACATAGAACCAATTCAATATAATTTCATAAACATACGCTTGTGAATTTGTAAGTATTTGTTGGAAGGAACTTGGTGTAACAGGCGCCTATCAATTAAACCTTCCTATACTGTGGATGGAATAATTTAATTAAACTCTCATCTCTTTGTGTGCTAATTTAACGACCCGGAAGGTAATTACAAAGTTAGGGCGAGTACAAGAGAGAACAATATACTTACAAAAAATAATAAATTAAGGCGGTTTATATAAAGAGGGGAAAGTTGTCCCTGTGCTTAGCTAATTAAGCACTACGCCATGAAAGCATATGGGAGAGTGGATGTATAGATCTACATTTGCTTGACCTTGACACTAGTTGTAAGTGAGTGGTCAGCTTCATGGCCCGGCCGTTTTACCCCCGGTGAAAGAGCCCACCCGTACCCATTATATAGGAAGTTGGTTGGACCCTAGAGCCGGTCTGGACGACGTGGAGAAGCGAAAATTCTTGACTCTACCAGGGTTCAAACTCCGACCCCTTGGTCGTCCACCCCGTAACCAGTCGCTATACCTACTGAGCTATCCCAGCTCCGGGCAGTTTATATAATTTAGTTAAATTCAATTCCAAGTTACGTGCATATTTAGTAATACGTAATCATAAAGCGGCATGTTGCCCAGTAATCTTCGCTATGCGATGTGCGTAATTACAGCTAATTACTAAATATACTGTCAAAGTTACGAGAGGTTAAATTATTCAGGCATGCAGAATATTCCATTCTCATTTCCGGACAATTTGTAGAGTTAAACTGTGAACTCATAAGTGTTATTTTATTGCACTTCTAAAAAATTTCATCAACAAAACCTCATTATTTCACATTAATACCTTCTACAACTAGGTCTGTCAAGTAATTTCTTTCCTTTGGGCTTTCTGACCGAAGTGCTATATGCAATTCCCATCTCTTATGCTTGCTACATTAATACCTTCTACAACTAGGTCTGTCAAGTAATTTCTTTCCTTTGGGCTTTCTGACCGAAGTGCTATATGCAATTCCCATCTCTTATGCTTGCTGCATGCCTCGCGTTTCTCGTCTTCGCTGTAATAGTACATATAAAACAAAAACGCCGTGGTTTTAGTCCGTAAGCGAATTATACCGACCGAGCGACCGTCGCTTGTCGGCGAAGTTAGTGCCAACTTTAGCGGATAGAGGGTGTTGTGTGGTCAGCGCAACGATTTCCCATGGCCGTTAATTTCAGTTTATAAAAAATATAAACTATGCAACTACTCATTATATGATATTCTCGATTCTCCTTTTGTTTTCTCTGTCTTAGGTCCAAATATTTATCAGTAATATACAGTAGCTTCCATTTCTTTGTGTTGTAACTTCATGAATTTCTTTTACTCTGTTCTATATATAGACGAAAATCATGTACTTCCGATAACGGTCTAACTTTAAATCTCTTTCCGTTACACGCGAGGGCACGGCATCTAACTTCCCTTGGAAACGGCAGCAGATTGATGCCCGAGCTGCCTTACAAACACGCAACCGAAGCACGTGACCACTTCTCCCCAGTTTTTGACGTCCGATCTCTTTGTTGATAAGGAAGGAAGTGGCCCCACTTTTACCAAATTCTGAACATTTCAAAACATTTCATAAAGTGTAATCTTCGCCAAGTATAACTATAATGATCAAGTCAAGGAGGATGAGATGGGCAGGGCATGTAACATGCATAGGGGAGAAGAGCAATGTATATAGGAGTTTGGTGGGAGTGCCAGAAGGAAAGAGATCACTAGGAAGACCTAGTCGTAGGATTTTTTTATTGCTAGTGGGGTGGGACTAAGTCCCTTGCACTGCGGCCACTTCTGGCCTATTGTACCAGCCCCAGATGATAGGTGAGGGTGATTGTGGAGCAATTGGTGGAATGAAGATTTGCAAGGGAAACCGAAGTAGGCGGAGAAACCTGCCCAAGCGCCACTTTGTCCACCACAAATCCCACTTGACCAGACCCGGGATCGAACCCGGGCCGCCGCAGTAGGAAGCTAGCGACTAACCGCTTGAGCTATGGCGCGGCCTAGTCGTAGGTTGGAAGATAGTATCAAAAAGGATATTAGAGAGATAGGATGGAATGGTATGGATTGGATTAATCTAGCTCAGGATATGAACCAGTAGGTCACCCTTGTGAACTCGGTAATTAATGTTCAGTTTCCACAAGATTTGGGGAAATTCTAGAGTGACTGACTGGCGGCTTCCCAACAAGGGCTGAGCTCCATGGAGCTACTAGTTAATATATATATATGTGTGTGTGTGTGTGTGTGTGAAGATAACAAGAATCCTGTCAGTTGAACATGAACTAACTTCAAGTGGACAGCCCCGCTAACACTACTCCGTACAGGACGCTGAAGGTGTTGGTAAACTGTCATACAGACACAGTTTGAAATGTAATACATTAAAACATTCGTTCTAAATGGTTTAAGATTATTAATTATAAGTAATAATACGTGTAGTTTACGCAAGTTCTGTATTAACTATTTTACCACATTTTCGAACTACCAATACGACGGTCGCTGAAAATATTAAGATCCAATTGTATCAAAAATCCAGATTCTGTTCTGTAATATAATTTGGTCATTATTTTATGACACTCTGTACATGTGCGAATATCCTGTTATTTTTAAGATTTCAGGTTTTCACGTCTTTGACTATGAAGAATGCCGTTTTCTGGGATATGGCGCCGTGTAGATCTTCGGTATACCGACGTTTAAGAGGAACGTATTGCATACACCTTCAGGGTAGAAAAATTCGCGAGCNTTCTTATATTTTTCTTCTACCCTGAAGGTGGAGCGATACGTTCCTCCGAAACGTCGATCCATACAAGCTCTACACGGCGCCACATCCCAGAAGACGGCATTCTTCATCCTCTTACTGGCTTCCAGTTGATATTCGCCTCAGATGTGTTTCGGTTTAATATTCGGCAATGTTGCCCTTTTACTAAATCCTTACATCGAACCAGCAGCCACACAGTTGAGTCTGTCAGGGAGAAAGCATTTCCGATTAATGTGTATATCGGGAAGGAAGAGTTAAATCTCTCAAGACGAAACTTTTCCGGAGAAGAGTTATATCTCTCAAGGGGGAAACATCTGTTTCCGAAAGCAGGAACATGCACTTTTCGCGTTCGGTTCGATAGCGTGATGACACAGAACTGAAGGGGAAGAGGTGGCAATATGCCAATTGTTCACTGTGTGTGACAAATGTTTTGAAAATCTCTAGTGAGTCATATTATAAATTGTCTTTCGCGAGCGTGGTGTTTCAACAATGAAACAGACCCGCTCCTAAAACACAGCTAGACTCAACACACAGATAGGTTTGCTTCACTTGAATTAAATACATTTTGGCCCTTGTACTGATAATCACTTATTCCTAATTCAGACGTTAATCCCATAACTGAATTTTATTTTTGTCTCGTGCTAAATCCTCACTTTTACGATCTGCATTTACTTAAATGTATCGCCTGTCTTATTGTTTTGTAGCCACGTTGTGTGCGGGTCTAGTGGTTCGTGTTGTAAGTTTAAGGGGTGAAACTAAGGGAATGGGGAGGAAATGGGGGGGTCGTAGCGACGTCTGAATTATTGATAGACGCCCCCGTCGCGTCGCATGATAGACGGATCATCAAGTTAGAGGGGTTATACTTGCTAGAATGGTTGCTTGTGCGGTGACGGAGGGAAGCCTGCAAGTAAATAAGTTAGCAAGCTAGCCTCCAGAATACAGGAGTCGGTGAAAATCGAAAATGGAACACATATATTATTCATAGAACACTAAATATAATGTTTCTGTTGAACGTCTGACCTATGAGACGCAAGTCGTCTTTTTAGAGTCTGTTGCGTAACTGTTTAGGGTTTTCGCTGACACCAGGCGCATTCCTTTGAGAAGTGGTCGCGTTGACGTACTGGGTACTGAGTGCAGCAGTAAACTACTTCGTTTGTTACGTCAGTAATATTACCAACGAAAATTCTGTTGCAAAATCTGTGATATTTGCTCTGTAAAACAACACGCCAACCTCTTTAGAAATTACATGGCCAGTAATAACACGCCAATATTTTGAACAGTTTGATGACTGGAGGCACTAGAAAGGATTTATGAGAGTTAAGAGTCACATGACGGTCAGCATTAACATTACGGACATCTGGGATGTGACGCCTTCATAATTTTACCCAGAAGATGACAGCAGCAAGTGTCTCCGAAACGTTAGTACATAGATACTAGACTACACCGCTTCATATGACTTGAGTGGCATTCAGACCTGCGGCAGAAGTACCAGCTTTCAGGACCAGTCCTCCCACAGCAGGCTTTTTGTTTGGTTATGGCTACCTGTTCGCTTAGGCGGCATATTCATGATCTGTTTACACAGTTTCCAGTCTGGTTATGTGGCAAGCGCCCATCTTGCAGTATGTCTATTTAGAAGAGAGCATAATCCAGGTTACTAATGCAATGAAGCTATAGGTTTCTTCATTGTCCGCCGTTCTTCGCTAAAATGTACATGGAATATACAGAATGTCCCAGGAGGTAAGGTTAATATTATGGGAGGTCATAGTATCGGTAATTCTAAGCAAAAAAGTGTATACATACATGTGTCCTATTCCGAACGGTTTCCGAGACAGGGCTATTTCACTGTACAGACGAGCAACACGCCATGTCCTCACACGAGTTGCACCGAGATAGAGCTATTTCACTGTGCAGTACACTGTACACTGTACAGACGAGCAACACGCCATGTCCTCACACGAGTTGCACCGAGATAGAGCTATTTCACTGTGCAGTACACTGTACACTGTACAGACGAGCAACACGCCATGCCCTCACACGAGTT